GCATTCTTGATGAAATTGTTTTCAAGATATCAGCATCAGAGGAATCATCAGTTGGACGGTAAGGGGATTTGCTATCCTGTTTTCAGCCCAAGGTCAGTCAAAAGCTGACTATCACTAACTGCAATCATGATTATAAGATTACCACAGTTTGAATTTCTGTTGTATCAAAGTGTTTTTCATTGCTTATGATTTCACTAGTTGAGTTTAGTGGGCTTCAAAGCTGGCGGGGAGAAAATATAGTGGCTAAAGGTAATTTAAGCAAAGTTAAAATTTAGACAATGCTGGCCAATGGTCTTCTTCATGGCAACTCACATTTGCTGCAGGGAAGCCCATTACATTGCAGGGTCTCACACAGGCCTCACACAGGGATTTCATTAAGGGCCAGGCATTGGGTAAATTGACTGGCTGTGAGGATGATTTTGTCTACCTGGTTTGACCATCTAGAGGAAAGTTTTCTTATGATAAATAAACAAGTTCAGTTCAAAAAGTTTTGCCTGCCTGTGAAAATCAGTTGCCCTCCTGACTTGTTGAAAATGTTAATGAAAACCGTGCTCAACCTTTTACAGGGCTCAGGTTTCTGAGATTTATTGCACAATATTATTATTATTCTGCATGTGAGCATTTAGAGCATTTGCGAAGCATTTTTACTGCTTCTATCCCTCTCCTTCCCTCCCTCTTAGGTAAGTGATAACCTTTCTCCACTGAATTTTTCCTTATTTGGCGTGACAGTGCTGGATTGTGGTTGCTACTCACAGGGTTGCCATGGATACCTCAGGGGCACACAGCCCCTACACACTTGTAATGTCCCACAATCCAAAAGGCACCCAACCAGAACCTCGTCTATTGTTGATGAGTTATGTGCAATAAGAAGTAAAAACTCACTGAAAAGTTATAAAACTGGAATAGGAATTTACACTAATCTTGGATTAGCTTAATGGTACTTTGACCAAGGAGGCCTAGGTGTGAAGTGTAGTATCTCATTGGAAGTTACACTTCTACACTTCCAGTCTGTAAATATAACCTGTAATCTTGTGTCTTAATGTCAATGGTAACAAGGTTTGATTGTGTGTTGACAAATAGTGAGTCAGAACGAGTAATTGAATTTTTTTCTGTTATTGTCATCATACAGGGCATCAATTCATCTCATTCTAACAGCAACCAATGTTCACCCACCCCTTGTTGAAATTTTGTTGTCAAAAAGATACAGGTGAGTAGCTCTGAATGTTCTTGAAAAAAACAAAAAACAATGTTATTCAGGAATAGAGTGTGCTTTTCTTCATGTGGTTCGCTAAAAAAAAAAGAAAAGAAAAAAAAAAGAAAAACATGTGGAGGGACTTCTCATCTTCAGTCAAAGGGAATAGGGATGGCGCAGCGGTGAGAGCGCTGACCTCCCACGAATGTGGCCCGGGTTTGATTCTAGCCAGGTGTCATGTGGGTTGAGTGTTTTGTTGGTTCTGGCCTTGCTCCGAGGGTTTTTCTCCGGGTTCTTCGGTTTTCCTCCCTCCACGAAATTCCAACTCGACCAGGATAGAGGACCCGGATGAAAATCAACTAATCCGGGCTGATGTGGTTTCCTCTCTAAATATTGTAAGTTGTTATTATTATTTTTTTAATTTTAGAAAAATTGTAATGATTTTACAACTTGTTTCCGTGTTTTACTTCAACTTAGAAGAAAACACTACTGATAAATACCGATGGGTCTTAAAGAAGGAGTTATTGTCCGTTTTTTTAGGGGTTTGAAGGCTTACCTGGGTAAATGGAAGGCTCGAGGGTTCGATAATGATGTGAAAAGACTTGTGTCATTACTGGAGGCTGGTTCCATTGCTCAGGCAGAACAATTGGTACGTATGATCAAAACGGTAATCTTATGTGTGCCACTACCACACTGAGGTTCTCTCAGGGAACAAGGAGGCATAATCGTTTAATTCAAGGGAACAAAGGATATTTTGGATTAATTGAAGGGACAGGGGGCATTTTAACTATTAAAGGTAATTTTGGGGAAGAATGTTCGATTAGATGTAGGGAACAGCGAAAGTATTAAGTGGGAACAAGGAAGTACATGCGATTTAAGGTATCAAAATGTATATCCAGTCCTCATTATAGTCGCGGAAAATTTGTGACAAATGGACGCGTAGGAAATAAAGTGAATGTTCAATGCATATCGGCCTGTTTTAATTTGGTTTCGGGTAATTTTATTCTGCCCCAAAAAATTCGAGATCACGATAGCGGCGTTAGGATGATGTAAGTATTGGCTCCTAGAAGGACACGCAGAATGAGGAGACACCACGAGGATAACGATGTTCTTAACAGTTTGCAAACGTTCTGTTGCAACTTGGACTGTATATTCAAGTGCTTGTGTTTCAACATTGTTCCGCAGTACACAAAGTTTCTTTTTAACTTTGTAGAGACTCTCTCGTGCAGCAACAGTCATTCAAGCATTTTACCGTGGCTCCAAACAACGACGGAGCCTCAAACAAGCCGAGCTGGGAATCATTTTACTTCAGAGAAACTTCAGACAACGCCGCTTGGACAAGGAGCGATCGAGAGACAAGGAAAAGCGGCATGAAGAACGCAAACTGGCTATCGAGCAGAAGCGAATCAACGAATTCAGATCATCCATGCAAAAACAGCTCAAGATGTTAGAGAGCGTGCCTGCCAGAGAAGTAAATTTGTTTATGGCGGAGAACCAAGGGAAGGCAGCCAGTAAGATACAAGCTGTGTTCCGTGGGATGATGGGGAGGAGGAAATATCGCGAACGATTCGATGAAGTGACGCGAGAAAGAGCTGCCGTAACTATACAGCGCCAGGTTTGTTACGGGTGATTTAGTCCATGAAACTAAAGCGTAATACACATAATACGCGTAATACACCGGAGAAATTTGAAAACACAGCTTTATTTCCACGGTTAGGCCTACCGTCCACACTAATCCGTCACGAAAACGGAGCTTTTCGAAAACGCTCTTCAAACCGGAGGAATTTGAAAACGCCGGCTTTTCGTTTTCGCGTGTAGACGGAAAACTAATTTTGAAAACGGAGCTTTTCGAAAACGATGACGTCACGACAATCATGTGATTTTCCTGACAGAGTTTTGCTCAAACAAAAATCCAAAATGACCGCTGATTGTTTCGTTTTCAAAATTCCCCGCCGTAGTGTGGACGAAAAACATTTGATGCGTTTTCAGAGTGAAACCTCCGTTTTCAAATTCCTCTGGCGCAATGTGGACCGGGCCTGAAGATGATAGAGAGTGTGCCTGCCAGAGAAGTGAATTTGTTCATGCGCATTTGTTGGGCAATGTTCGGTCTTCCTTTCAGACCTTAAACCGGTCTTACATGGAATATCGCGGAAAAATTACCAGTGTTTGAGAAACATGTCTTTCACGCGAGTCTCACCCGAAACGAAATGGTGCGGAAAAAACGAAACCTGTTTTTCGGTGGAAAAATGTTCTCCGAAAATTCGTAACGAAACTTGAAGCGCTTAGGTATAAGTACTTTGTATTTTCTAACTTTTTTTATCGATTTGTTATTGTAGTTCCGCCGATACCGACAGCGCATGGCAGAGCGTAACACTCCTTATCCTGTAGTACCAGGTTTGACTGACGCCAGGAGAGCTGAACTACAGAACATGATTGCCGATCATCGACAGAAGTATCCGGTACTTGTAACTTTTCCATCTCTTACAAACGTCTTAACTTGTATTTGTGATCTATAAGTCGACGCGAATATATGAAATAGTTCTGGTCAACGGATTCATAAGTTGAATAAGTGTGTCAAACGAGAATTGTTGTCAAGGGCAACGTCATCAATGTTAGAATGACTTCGAGAAGCTCCTAAATACATCTAGTCCATAGGATTCCAATAATAAGGTTTCGATTTTGTCGATACGTAACATGACGCCCATGGGAAATGAAGATGGCAAGCGATGAGCGATAGTGTGGAAGAATGGAAATGGATTTTTGGAAACGAGAAGCTTGCTTAAGGATTGGATTTCTATGTAACTTTGAAAAAATTAAAACATGCGAATTTTCAAAACGCTAGCCCTTCAAATTTTAGTTAGAGTTTCAAAACATCCGGAAGACCGTCTTCCTAAGTATTGTTTTTTGCTTTTGTTCTTAGCCGAAGCACAGAACACAGGAGGAACTCAAAGAGCTCCACGAGAAGGTATTATTTTTGTGTTACTCTTGGCCTTTCGCAGCGCTCCTTCCACTCATCAGCATTAGGGGTATGGGCCCTGGTTGACAACTCGGCAAAAATTAATAGGGTGATGGACGAGTTACCGATCCAGGTGGTGGGTGGGGAGGGGTGGGGGGAGGTGGCGTGGTTGGGCCGGAGAAGAGAGCAACGCTGTCTAGTAAGCCAAGTTTGTTCACAAATAAAAACAAAAAAAAAACTGAGTAAAATCCAGTGGAAGCCTTGCACGTAGTAGGTGTTACATGTTCCTGAATGCATTTTCTTTTTTCACCAAGGCTTTTTCAATGCTTGCCAATCACGTGTTGTCTAACATGAAGATAAGAAAGGGTGAACAGAGAAGAGATGCACTGCTGGCTAGACTGAACGTGGACACAGATCAGCTGTTAGGTGAGGAAAAAAAAACAAAACAAAAACTGGTATTATACAGTCAAGGTGATAGGCCATTTCCGAGTGGCCTTTTGCCTCTGTGTGAAAACGTGTCTTCGTGAGAAAATGTGTTTGACCTCCAAAGAAAGAAGAGTTTTGCAGAAGGACTCATTTTGAAATAGAGGGAAAGGCTAGGCAACTCGGAAATGGTCTGTTACGCGGTTCAGTGCCTGTTTCACATCAGATACGTCCAAGATATTAAGATACAAAGTTTAGTAAATTATTAAACAGTGCATTATGTCGTTTTCTGCAGCTGCTCCAAAACTTCATGAAGTGGCTCCCGACATGCTCGACTCCTTCACGTCAAGATCGGCGCCCGTGATAGCCAGAGCACAGCAGTGTCATAATGAGGAAATGCGCAGACTCAAACTTCCTTGGTGGAAAAAA